TGTTTTTAAACTTACAGGTTATTAAATGTTTTTGAATTGTTTTTAATCTTAATATATGTTTCACTGATTTTTTTTAATTGTTTATATGATATTTCTAAACTCTTGTTAGTTGTTGAAAACCACCTTGAGTCCCTTATGGAGAGAAAGGCAGCATATAAATAATATAAATAAAATAAGTGAATAAATAAATATTCCTGTTCCTAGTTTGCTACCACAAAGCCAGTTTTCTTTTCCAAAGGGCAAATAAATGGTGACTGCAAGATTCACTGGGACCTACATTCCAAGCTTTTTTAACACAATAAACATAACCCCTGAAACTGAATTAAATGCACATGTAAGCACAGAGGGTCAGAATTGATACACAGATCTATCCAGTTATAAAGAACAACTTAAATGAGCACAAAACACTAGCAAATGAAAGCAGTCCTCTGCGTAACAAATCACTATGCTTTGTATTCAACTTGTGAGGGCATCATAGCTGACTGCTTTATGTTTTGAATAGTTATAACCACTTCCTTTCATATCAGTTTCTGCTTCCTTGTAAACTTTCACCCATTCAAATTTATTCTTCAAGAAAGAACGCTTTATTCGCAAAACAAAGAAAGAACTATTTCTTTCAGAACCCTTCTAACTAAGCATCATGGTTAGAGAGCCCCCACCTCTAAGTCACATTGCAAATGTATGACACTCTGGAGTTAGCAAGTAACATTTTTCCATGTGTTGCTCGCTGTTTTCCTTTAGCAATTTGGACAGAGAGTGAAAAAAAGAGAGAGATGAACAGGAATCTATGTACAGCTACCTCAAATATCAAAGGGAAATACTACATGCTTGTGGTAATAACAGAATAGAACCTGGTATTTTGCCCCATTGAGAGTCTTCAGACAGGAAAGAACAAGTCTAGGACTCTTCTTTCATGATTTCCTACGTGCATGGCAGCCACATCAGAAACCACAGGATGTCCTGCATCCCATCTGTGTTAAACTGTGGTGAGTTAGGTTTTACACACCTCTGATATGCACTGAGCACAACCCAGATTTTGCTATATCAGCCTTGTGTTGGCACAAGTGTGCCACAGACTTCATTTGGACTTTATTCACTGTGTCATAGTGGTACATGCACACTCAGCCTGCTTGCCAGAGGCTAATGCGGACACAATTTGACAGTAGATGGAGTGTTTTTTTCCCTCATAGTGACTGTGTAATGAAACAGTTGCGACAACAGGACTGTAAATGGACCAAGTACATTTCAGCACACATTTCCTTCTTTAAAAGCTTGTTTAATTGTGCAATCAAAAACAAGGAAGTGACAAGGAGAAAGAAAAAAAGCTCACTGAAATCTACAATATATATATATATATATTAATGGGATTTGATACCTAGGTGGAACTTGAATAAGACATCTTCAGAGACGCCATTACAGAGCCAGGGAAAACATCTGTATACTGCTTCTGTTTTGTTCCAGGAATGTATTTTTCCATAGTTTGCTTGGATCACAGCCAAACTTTTCTCCCCAATCCATAACCCTTCACATTCACAGCAGTGCTACAAGACAGGTTGGGGTGAACTGTTGTGTTTCCCTGGCATCCATGCAAGTAGCTACCAGGCACCCATTGCATCTGAAGTAGCAGCAGTACCTTGAATTGGATGTTTTTTTCTTATGCAGGTAAAGGGGGATTATCTGGGTGCTAAAAAAATCCATGTAATAGAAAAGCTGCTTCCTGTCACCATCTAAGTTAGTCATAACTAAGATCTCCCTGACACAAACTCTAGATGAGATGGTCAGCAGATGTTTGGACTGTACACTTCAGACTGAGGTTACATGCTGGGATAGTATTTCAAACAAAACAAAACAAAAATCCTAGCAGAAAGAAACAAGATGTGACTGGAAAGAGTGTGAGCCTAGTCTTCATTCTGGCTTTTTGTTTTTACTTTTGCAAGGATAGTAAATCTATTTATTTTGGACAGATGAACATCTGTTACATAAACCTTTATCCACAGTCTGAAAGGAACAAGGCTGATGGCTCATTGAAACAAAGAGATCAAGTTAGCCATGAATAGGTTTAATGAGGAATGTATGATAGAACAAGACCTCTGAATCACCTACAACAACTCTAGCCTGAAAGACAATGAGTTAAATTAATTGGGAAAGAACATGAAGCATAATAAAGGACAGTTTTAGAATGTATTTCCAAAATATGTCAGATGTGCACTTAGAAAGACCTAGCTCAAAACATTTCCCTCCTGAGGTGCAAAATGCACACTTGTATCTGTTCCACAGGCAGAAGCTTACTGGACTGGAATTTGTAATTTACGTATTTTTCGCTCCATAAGACACACCTCTCCATAAGACGCACCAAATTTTTAGGAGAAGAAAACAGGAAAAAAATCTGTTTTCTTCTCCTAAAAATTGGTGAGCCTTATGGAGAGGTCTGTCTTATGGAACACAACCTAGGACCCTTTGGAGGCTCACCCAGACCCCCTGAAGGCCAGAGATTTTGCCCCCTCTGGCCTTCTGGGGCTCTTTTGGTTTGGAAAGCTTCAGAAGAGCCCCAGAAGGTGGCAATTTCGCCCCCTCTAGCCGGGTGGGGGGCAGGGTGAGCCTCCAAAGGGTCCTAGAGTGTGTTCCAGGACCCTTTAGAGACTCACCCTGCCCCCCCGGGGGTCAGAGGGGGCAAAATCGCCACCTTCTGGGCTCTTTTAAGGCTTGGAAAGCTTCAAAAGAGCCCCAGAAGGTGGTGTTTTTGCCCCCCCTGGACCCATGGGGGGGTGGGGGTAGCGTGGCAAGGGTCCGAGGGGGCCTTCCAGACCCTGGCCATGCTACCCCCACCGAC